GCCATTTTATATTCCACATAGAGTTGGTATACTGGGATATTATATTCATAACATTTATCTAAATCTGATCAGTCATTTATTTTATTTTTTTTGCCTGGTTCCACACTGGCATCAACTAGTATTTCTTCAGTGTTTTTTTAGTCTGTTGGCGATCAGCTTCGTCAGTATTGTGTATGTAACATTTAATAGGGGGATTCCCTTGTAGTTTGTTCACTGAAGTTTGGAGCCTTTCTTGTGTATTGGGGTTATTAATGCTGTTTCCCATTCTGTTGGAATTTTCTCTTCTTGCCGAATTTTAGTTATAAGTTTATGTATCTAAGTGTATAGTTCAAGGGTGACACAAGTAGAATGAATTTAGTTTACGTCTCACTGGAGCCGGATTGAAGATGTCTTTGATCATTATTATGGCTAATTTTGGCACTCCCCACCCGAAAGTTTGAAATGGAACCTCAAAATTGTCTGAAAGAGACACAAATTCAAGTATGCACAAAAATGCACCTCTGCATTTTGAGTTTGCCCGACTTTCTTAAGCACCCTAAATTTTTGCAACCCTTCACTCACGCTGATCAATGGTACAGTATGGGGCTGATTATAAGCTTGTGCCAAATGATTACTCTGGGACACGCCACAGACTGAGTGAATCCAGGTTATGTATGGGGGGGCAATGGGTGCCATAATGCCTCCCGCATCTTCCCCCCTTAGCTACGCCTCTGGTCACTGGCAACTGGTACAGCCCACCCCCCCCCCGAAAATTTGAAGTGCCCCCCACCGGGGGGTGGGGGTGGAATGTCTGAAAGAAACACTGAGTGGGACAGTGGATTGTTTCAACTCTGATCACCTCCAGGGCCAGTGTGACAGTGTATGCATTCAACTCTGATAAACTCCAGGGCCAGTGTGACAGTGTATGTAGTCAACTCTGATCAACTCCAGGGCCAGTGTGACAGTGTATGTAGTCAACTCTGATCCCCTCCGGATCCAGGTGCCAAATTTGGTCAATGTCAATCAATAAGAATACTAACTGACTCTTAGATCTTTGAACAATTCCACAGCTTAAACAAATAGAAGACGACTCAATGAAACAACTATCTGAACAATTTTTTTAAAAAAATTAATAGCTGTAAAATTCGAATAGGCCTAAATGTTACAAATCTTCCTTTTCTATAAGCAAAATCGCACTTGATATTGTCTTTCAATTGCTTTTCGCTTTAGACAGCATTGTTAGACTTCTCAACCGCACGTAATCTTGATTATACTGAAGCTGCCTGGCAGCACTCGTGTCGTGATTATCAATCAATTTTTTAAAACTTTAACTTTGAAAGAAAGGAGGCGTATTTATCCTTAAAGACGTGAAGCTTCTGAATAGGGGTTGCAATCCGGGATCCCAAATTTCGAAAATACCGGAATACCGGAACATAATTGATGCTCGAAAAAAACAGGATTGGATTTATGAAAACCGGGATTTTCGACAATCCCGGGATTTCATTTTCAATTTTTTTTTTTTATTATTTTCTCTTTTTTTGTTTCCGCGACGAAGTTAAAGCCAGACATATCAATAATTTATGAAATGTGCAAATCCATCACACAGCGTCTCAAGTTCAAAGAGAGCCGACCGACGGGCTAGATCTGTGTACTCTTATTTGTCATGAAACATGACGTTGTAATGAGTTTTGTTTTTTCATGATGCGTGTGTAGTGTGTAGGTGAAGACGAGTCACGGCGTGAAGGTACATGATTGGTAAGTAAATGTTTTCATATTATTGATAAATAAGTGATTGGTATAGACTAGTTAAATGAAGATTGAGTTTTGACTTCCATTAAGAGTTTGTTTTTTTTTTGTTGAAATAATGACACGGGGTCAACTTTTAATTCAATTTTTTTTTTTTTGATTGCTTGATTTCTTTTAATCATGCCCCAAAAAAACCTACATATTTAAAACTATGAGTAAATCCGTATTTTGATAATCAAATACCTTAAGTTTAAGACACAGAAAAATTATGTTATTTCTATTTTGTGATAACAATATTAATAATTTACATTCAACGCATAATGGAATTTCCAGCTATTTTGTCTCAGGCTGAATTTCCCAGTTTGTCTGTACCGTACCTAGCCAAAATTTACATGACTGAATGTCCCAATTGTTCTGTACCGTACCTAGCCAAAATTTACATGACTGAATGTCCCAATTGTTCTGTACCGTACTTAGCCAACATTTACATGGCTGAATGTCCCAATTGTTCTGTACCGTACCTAGCCAAAATGTACATGACTGAATGTCCCAATTGTTCTGTACCGTACCTAGCCAAAATGTACATGACTGAATGTCCCAATTGTTCTGTACCGTACCTAGCCAAAATGTACATGACTGAATGTCCCAATTGTTCTGTACTGTACCTAGCCAAAATGTACATGACTGAATGTCCCAATTGTTCTGTACCGTACCTAGCCAAAATGTACATGACTGAATGTCCCAATTGTTCTGTACCGTACCTAGCCAAAATGTACATGACTGAATGTCTCAATTGTTCTGTACCGTACCTAGCCAAAATGTACATGACTGAATGTCCCAATTGTTCTGTACTGTACCTAGCCAAAATGTACATGACTGAATGTCCCAATTGTTCTGTACCGTACTTAGCCAAACATTTACATGACAATTTAAACATTAAAAAAATGTTTTACACGTCAAGGCCAATTCAATTGAATTAATTTATTTTTTGTTAATGATTTATTTTCCCAGGTTGATAGAAAAAAAATGGGGTACCCTGAAAAAAACAACAAGCTAAATTTGAAAAGCATATGAAACTATCGGAAACAAAGACATCAGTTTGGCATCATTTCTTGAAAGCTACAAACAATCTCTCAGCTAAATAATAATAATAATAATAAAGTTCATTTCAAAATCACGCTTCATCCCCCAAAGGCTCGAAGCGCGGTACAAAGTTAACAAAAAAAAAAAAAAAAAAAAAAATATAAAAATCAAATCTATAATTTACCACATTTAAAACAAACGCAACACTACAAAAACTAATTACAAGCATACAATGTCAAAGTCTTTCTAGCCATTTCAACCATAAGCAACACATCCATTATGCATTAACTGGAAATAAGGTAGACAATCATCCCAGAAGGTGTTTGCGAAATAGATGTGTCTTTAAATCGGGTTTAAAGGACTCCAGTGTCTGGTTGTTTCTGAGATCGACAGGAAGGGCGTTCCAAATTGTTGGACCAGCAAATGCGAAAGTGCGCTTTCCGTAAGTCTCAAGGCAAACACGTGGTGTCGAGAGTTTGCCACTATTAGATGTAACAAGATACTTAAAACATTGGGAGGTACAACTTCAGGCCTTGACTCTCATTTAAAGTCTGCACATCCCAGTGACTACTTGGATGTATTGCTAAGGCCAGATTGCGACCAGATGCGAAAACATATCGTGGATAATCAAAAGCTTGGTCAGACAGCGGATTCCTCGTTGGAAATATGTACGAACAATGAAATTGAACATCTTGAATCTGAGCATGGCGAACTTGATGATACACTGCCGCTTAAGAGACAATTTGAAATTGAAATACAAAAGAAACTTCAGGCTCAGGAAAATACTTCCAAACTAACGGTTGGAGACTTTGATACACTGGTAAAAATAGAAATTGCTTTATTTTAGAATGGCGGTTCAAGAGGAAAATATCTAGAAATTGCTTATGATAGCCTAAGGCAGGCTAAGGTCTATTCTCTGCGACCAGTGTGGAATTAGAGCGGGTGCTCTCTTCATCAGGTTACCTTTGTAACCATTTGCGGTCAAAGTTAAGTGACCAAACATTATACACTTTGTTATTTTTACGATTTCATTATTTAAATTTGACCAAAGTTTAAAACAGCACCAATTATTTTAATATTTGGTCAATAAAACTATTTAAATTAAAAGTTAAGAATATTATTTTTTTTTCATTTGATTAAAGTCTGAAGATAAACGTGTGATTAAAAGCTTATTAAAAATTAAAATGTGATATTTTTTCTAAATGTTTTTTTTTCATTGATAAATCCTCACCTCTAATCTCGAATCACGTCTAAAAATTCTCTAAATGTCGAAAATATCGAAAATACCAGGATCCCGGTATTTGTAAACTGCAGTATCTAAAAATACCGGTTTTGACAAAAGGGACTGGTTTTGCGAGCCCTACTTCTGAATACTACTTTCGTATGAAAGGGGTTCGGGGGGAAAGGGGGGGGGGGGG